ACTCCTTTACGCACATGTTACTTTGCTGGTAACAAGTGAATTCATAAAATATGGCTCATAAGCTACAATTTGATACCAAATAMGYTTTGTCCCTMTGGGGGTGCTACGAAAATCATTTTTAAGCCACAATTCTGGATTTAGCTCACGGACTACAAGCCTCCCCAGTAATCAGATTGACACAGCTGTCTGGCCTTGGCCTCTCTMAGACACCAGGACAGTATTTGTCTTGTCCAACCTGGTGTTTGTTCCACTTTGCTTTTGTAGTTTCTAGGAGTAATATCAAAAATTTGAATAATACCAATAATCATTGCAATTTTACATAGAAGACTGTCCACAAATCAGTATGCTGCATTCATGAGCACAGCGCAATGTTATTGGGAAATAAAAGTGATATAGAGACATATAAGCACATTAATATCTACCTAATTGTTCTATTGATTGGCAGATAAATAACATTTCTCAGACTATCCAAAACATGGGGGTTTTGCAGTACAGATCAATGCACAGTCGTATCACTCTGTATGTCAATATGAAAATGTCATATGATTAGAGAGGGTGTTCTTACTAACATGTAATATATTCTCTACAAAACCAATCAAACCAATTGTGATATAATTTGTACTACAAATAATAAAAGTTAATCAAGCTATTTATTTATGCTTCAATAACAGTACAGTTTGTAGCTATCTATATGCTGAGCTCATAATTTCTAAATGACTTACTTTGGGTGCCACCTGTAACCCTTTGATGACTTAGTTTTCATTACTTTTAGTTGTTACTTCCATAGGCATTCCATATTCTCTGGAATCTGGTCCTTTTSTATTGTTGACATCAGTGTTTCAAGATCTCTGTTGTCTTCTTCTTCGAAGTCTAGACTTTCTTGTGTAAATTTTTGTCGCCAGTATATCTCTCGTCTTTCAGCATTTCTTTTCTCTTTCTTTTGGATATCAATTTTTTTTATTAGCTGCTCTCTGGTCATAAACCTATGATTACATTTTGGATGGGCTTCTTTATCGATTTTATTTGCCAGCTTTTCGGCGTTAGAGCACTTAGTGCATTTGGTTGACAATTGAGTAAAAATTGCGCACTGGTCGTTATTTGCAATATTGTTGCAAATTTGAGAATATTCTACATATAAAAATAAGCTCTGAATCTGGACGGGAACTGGTATACCAGGAAGCAGATCATGATGAAACACTCTACCAGAGTACTTTAAGGTACTAGGACTGGCAAAAGTGGGTGTCATTTGAAAAAAAAACTATTTAAACTGTATTCACTTTAGAGCAAATTGAACTTGATAACTAGCTTGTATATAAAATTGTTTTTCGAAATGTTAATTTAAGAGTGCCAGATTTCACACCTAAGGTGTGAAAACAAGACAGGCATCCTGAAGAACTTTTTTTTTTAAACGTAAATATCGAGATAAACTAAACCCCGAGCTAGGATCTCGAGTTGGATTTCGAGTTGGATCTCGAGTTGGATCTCGAGTTGGATTTCGAGTTGGATCTGGAGTTGGATTTCGAGTTAGAATTCAAGGTTGGATTTTTGTTAAAATCGGTATATCTTCAATAATTATTGAGTCATGAGAATCATTGAGAAAAACGAATTTTTCGCAATTGTTTGTTAGAAAACGTCACAACATGGTCTCATTCATTCAAAGTTAATAATCTGAGGAGAGGACATGGGAGGACATGGCGTAATACAGTCAGCACCGTAGCAGTTATCGATATGTGCTATTAAGATTTTTACTGTTGGAAGCTGTATAGTAAGTGGATAGTTGAAGGTCATAAAATTCACTTCTGTTGTATATATTGTTTGTTT